ATTTTTTTATACAGAACAGGTGAAGCATCTCATTACTAAATGTGATTTTATACAACACACACACACAACACACAAACACACCACACACACAACACACACACATATATATATATTATATATATATATATATATATATACACACACATACACACACATCTCTTTTTTATCCTTATACGACGCTAGTTTTTGCGTTTTCTTTCAGATCTTTCTCGAGTGCCTGACGCGCTTTCAATAACCACTGAGACAGCGACCACGTCACCCCGCCCGCCTCAGCCCAACTATAAAAGCATGAGTATTTCTAATGTCACCAGTAAACGAACAGATACTTTCACAGCCTCTTCTCCACCCTAAAGATATTTAAATCAGAGTTGCTCTCCATTCGACATAACTAGCTTCACCCGACGGTATCTCTCCACAAGTGGTTTCTAACAGTATATTTTCTACCATTCGAAATGGCTCCCGTTCAGAACGAGGTGAAGGCGCCTTCGTCCGAGGTCAAGTGCTGCCGCTGCGGAGGGTCGAAGGGTTCGTGGGACATGTTCCTTCCTATCACTCAAAGGGGAAGCTTCTTCCAGGACTCCTTCTTCTCCAACATGCAGCAGCACTTCGACGCCGCCGTCAGGCAGGTCCTGGACCAGTGGAGCGGCTCTGACCTCAGGATCACAGACCGCACGGAGAACGCGAACATCCGCCACAGCGATGTCCTTGGCCGCTATAGAAGGCTTCGATCCGTCGACCTGAAGGAGGAGAACCAGGCTGTCACTGTCACGTCGGATGACACCAGTCACAAGGTTCGTTACGGTGGACATGGCGTGATTATAACGTAATTTATCTAATCTAATTAAGTCATTCTAGTGATTTAATTAATTTAGTAGTTGATTCTCGTCTTTGATATATAGCATGCTAATCGGTGTCATTGCAGGTGGTGCTGGACGTGCATGAGTTCCTGGGAGGAGACGTGAGGGTGAAGGTGGTTGGCGAGAGGGAGCTGCAGGTGGAAGGACGCGTGGACAGGAAGGAGGAAGGAAGTCCTTGCGTGACTTCGCACACCTTCAGACGCCGCTTCTCCTTGCCACGTCTCACCGACATGACGGCCATCACTTCTGCCATGTCGTCAGATGGCGTCCTCACCATCACAGTGCCTAAACTGGTTCGTGTTTCATATTTCTCTGTTATTTCACTTGCATCTTAGTCTTTAATGAACATATTTGAGCCATACACATTAAAAGATTTTAATGTCATTTTAACTAAACATTTTAACAGGAAAACGAAGATCAGAAGACCACCATCATCCCCATCAAGGTCGAAGAGACACAGAAGAATTCACAGGCAAATGCTTCCATGACATCAGGGGCTCAAGGTACACACAAACAGGAATTCAAATGCGAACATTGCAGTCGGGAAGTCGTCTGCAACAAGGAAGGTGTTAGCGAAACGTGTCTCAAGCAACAGAGCGATTCCTTCGTTGGACACAACTTCCTTCCCATCGTGCGCAGAGGACTCTTCTTCGACGATTCCTTCTTCCAGGAAAGCCGGAAGGATTTCCAGAGGGCGGTGAAGGAAGTGTTGAACAAGTGGGGAGAACAGTCCTCTATTGGCGACGACCTAACGCGCTACAGAAGTCTCCGAAGTCGTGACTTGAGAGAAGAAAACCAGGCTGTCACATCCTCGGAAAATGAACGTCAACATAAGGTAGGAGTGATATCTGATGTTCCTCCAGGAAACTCAGACTGTAACAAAGGAAAAATATCCCATGCAAAAGAATTTGCGACCACTTAGAAGTTAGTTTTTCATATGTAGTAAATTTCCCGCTTAATATTCCAGTTCGTTCTCGACGTGAAAGACTTCAGTGACGGTGGAGAGATCAGCGTGAAGGCTGTGAGCGACAGAGAGTTGGTGGTCGAAGGCCGCAAGGAGAAGCAGGGAGACGGGTCGAGGTGCTCTCAGCGGTTCCTTCGGCGCTTCGTCGTTCCTGGAGACATCCAGCTGGATGGCGTCACCTCAGTCGTGTCTTCTGACGGTGTGCTCACCATCTCGGCTCCTAAGAAGGTAAGACCTAATTAGATATATATCATATTCATTGCCTGCCATCATTACACACCGAAAGATTACGTTTGGAAGGTTTGACCAACGAACTTGTCTACTTAACAGCAGTCGAGGCTCCAAATCCGGGAAGTACCTGTTCCCATTCAAAACGAAGGACAGAAATCTGGTACTTCTGGCACTGCCGTGAACAACGCAGATACCAAGTCCAACGATGCTTCATCAGTCATTCTTCCTAAATCTCAAAATGAATCTCACATCAGCGGAGTCTCTACTCCGTCCAAAGTATCTTCGCAAGCCAAATCGACTCGCGGCCCTGAAGAACTCTCATCCTCAAACCAGGTAAGAATATGCATGTGTAGGACACTGATGCTGTTCAATGAAATTCGGGAACGTGGAGACAACCTGCAGTAAATGCGACTGTAAATATAATACCTCTTAGTTGCTTCAAGAAAAG